TTTTTACCATGAGCATGTATCTAATTTTCTCCTTCTAAAAACTCACCTTCATTCTCCCAGATAGTGAGACAGTCTTGGAGCATGGAAGTGACTTGCTCGCCCTCACCCAGGGAGCAAGCAGGTATCCCTGCATGCAGAGGAAGGCATTCTAGCAGTGTACTTTGAATCTGAACCCTAACTCTATCACCTCCGTGCTGTGTGACCCTGGGCAAGTTTCTTAACCACTATGTGCCTCTGTTTCCTCGCTGTTAAAAATGAACACAATAATCTCTTCCTGTGAGAACTGTGTTAAGGGTGAAATGAGGAAATATAAGTTGAATGTTTACCCTAGTGTCCAGCACAGAGTACTTGCTAAGGCAAAGCTAGTGTTATTGTTGTTGCTCTTATTACCATTCTCATCAGTTCAGTCCCAGAATCGGGATCACTGTTTGTGGAGAGCACAGGGCTGGCCCCAGACCACGAGCAGTGCTGAGGGTGAAGTGGACCGGGCCTCTGGACCACAGAGGACAGGCCCAGAGGCAGACCTCTACTATAAGGATTCCAGCCCAGGCAGCTAGTTTCTGCTCATAGCAGGAGCTAGAAACCGAGGACTGTGTGGAGGGCCCTCAACTAGCCACATGCTACGCACTGCCGCAGAGTCGGACATGCATAGGCTTATTGGACTAGCCGGTGCCTTTGAGGCCAAAGCGGCCCACCTTCCATTCTGCCTCTGAGCAAGGAAAAGACACCTGATCCTGCAGAAAGAGCCTGAGACTGGGAGCGAACAGGCATACGAGAGTCCTGCTTCTGACTCAATCCTTCTATGTCAGCAGGGGCAGCAGATCCCTTCCCATCTCTGGGCTCCCAGCTCCCAATCTGTGAGTTGATGGGGTTGGACGATACCACCACTAATGTCCTCTGAGCACTAACATTTCACTCAGTGTTCTGAGCCCCTGCCAAGCTTTGAGGGCCCAGAGAAAGAGACTCCAACCCCAAAAGATGGAGTATGGGTTAAGAGGTGAGTGGGGGTAGCAGGGGAGCTGGGAGAAGATTCCCAACTAAGTACTCAGGCCGCATCCGATCAACTTCACCTTGTCTCTTTAGAGATAGGATCCATTCATTCAACAGTATTTACAGAGCTCCTAATGCCGTGCCACAAAGAGTTTGAAGGTGCTGATTCCAGAGTGGTGACATACCCAGTGGGCGGTACTTGGATCTGAGCCAAAAGCTTACATTCACCATCCGGCTCTGCTCTTCAGTGGCCGTGTGAGGTTGTGAGGTCATTTCTGCTCTCTGGGACTCAGGTGCCTCATCTGTAGAATGGGGACAATCACTCCTGCTTGACAAGGGTTGAGAGGGTTTCCTGAGAAATAGGATGTAGTGGTAGAGGGCACCCACTTTAAGACCATGATCGGAAAGAGCATGGTAATCTTGAGACTGAACCACCAGTCCAACCAATTACCAGTCATTCCATCTTAGGCAAGTGGCTGAAGTCTCAGAGACTACATTTTCTCATCTGAAAAATGGGAATACTAATGACTTTAAAGGAGACACGTGAAGATTGGAGAGACTTGTGTAAGGAGAGTTATGAGAATTAACTGACCTCACACCACTAGGGCCCCTACCACAGGGCCTGGCACACAGTAGGTGCTCAGCACATTCGGTGTCCTGCTATGAACTTCTCTCTTAGCTGCAGGGATGAGCCGCAGGGTGCGGCTTAGATCTATTTTCGGCCCGTGCAAGTCCAGCTCATAAAAAGACAATCTTGCTCCTTGTCAGCACTTCTGCACTTTTATTTATTGTTCTTGCCAATCCTGGGGCCTCTCCATGTGGGAACCTCTTCATTATTGATAATCCCGAGAAGTAGTAGTTTAAATTTTTATGATCTGTACTTTGTGCCATCTGAACCACCATGTATTATCTGGCCTTGCCAGTGAAGGGGGAATATATCCAGACCAGGGGTCCTTTCGGGATGAATAATTTATCCCATTTTCACAATGCCAATTATGTTAAATTATGTTCTTCATATCAGTCGCTGGCAGGACAATGGGGACTAGTGTATAAATATGAAAAGAAAACACACTTATATCTGTGCCCAAATCCACAATGGTATTTGAAAATCTGGAGGTTCATTTTTTTTCAAATATTTGTAAAACCCCACTTTAAATAATGAAAAGAGTAGAAAGAATTTGTCCTCTCCTCGCTCCACACCCCCCCCACCCCTCCCCATTTCAGTTATTAATCAAGGAGCTCAGGGCTCCAGTTTTTTCCTCCATTTTTTTTCAACTGCAAAGAATAGAGCCTTTCTTTGTGAATTTATTTTCTCTTCTCTCTTTCTGTGCTTATGTAAGCTGATTCCTCCAAGGTACAATTAATGATTGGCTAACATTTCTTATGCTTTCCCCTTCATGGTACTAAAAAAAAAAGTGACTGTTGCCATATCTTCTTTTATAGAAGGGAACTGTTTCTGGCTTCCCTCCATGGGAACAGAACATCAAATTTCATGACACGCCCCATAGCTGGTTGATTCCAATAACTCTGTATGGTTGTATTTCTCCTGTTCTCTACATCTTTTCAGTGTATTTCGCTGTGGCCAGAGGCTTCTCCATTACCTGTATCTGGAAAGCCACTTTTTGGTTTATAATCCTTCCTTGGCTTTTGACTGCTTTCAAGTTAACCTTCAAGACACTTGGTGGCATTCAGAGCTCTGTTTACCCCTCACTTCACCTGTCCTATGCTCTGGCTACTCAAAAGCACTCATTTTTTTAAAAAAGGTTTATTCAGTTTTGAGAGACAAAGAGGGACAGAGCATGAGTTGGGGAGGGGCAGAGAGAGAGGGAGACACAGCATCTCTAACAGGCTCCAGGCTCTGACCTGTTAGCACAAAGCCCGATGTGGGGCTCGAACCCACGAACGGTGAGATCATGACCTGAGCTGAAGTCTGGCGCTTAACCGACTGAGCCACCCAGGTGCCCCACAAAACCACTCATTGTGACTCCTCCATGTACCAGCCTCCTGAGTGTTTTCTGAATGTATGCTGGTATATTCTCCTCCCTCAATCTAGAAAACTCTTTTCCCTAAGTTTGGAGAGGCGAGAATGGAAACAAGAAGCTGGCCAGAGCAACCATTCATGGAGAGATGATGATACTCTGGACTAGGGTGGTGGCAGTGTAACTGGATGGATGGACTGATTCGATAGAAATATTTGAGAGGCAGGAGCTGGTGCTGAAATGGATTTGGGGAGTGAAGGCATGGGAGGAATCATGGGAGAATTCCCGTATTTGATTTGACGAGAGCACTGGCAAAGGTAATACTGGTGTTTTAGGGGGATGACTTGGGGAAGAAATGTTGAGGGGCAGGTGGATCCAGGAAAACAAGAGCTTTGCTGTTGGTGTGGTACATTTAGGCATGTTGTTCCAAGGGCAAATGTCCAGTAGGGTAATCTGGGTGCTGGATGAAGTCTGAATTAAGTCATATGGATAAGGATAGACTTGGAAATAATAGAAGTGCAAGCACTCGGAGGGGACTTGTGGGAAGGAAGCATGGCCATGATCTCACCCTCAGAAATTCTAACACTGGGAGGCCAAACAGAAGGGGAGGACTTGAAGAGGAAACTGAGGAGAGCTGGTCAGTGAATGGGAAGAAAACCAAGAGCGATACTGCCATGATCCCAAGAGAGAAGGGCATTTCAAGGGGGGAAGGAACAATCAAGATGACTACTGAGAGGTCAAAGAAGAGGCCAGAGGACTTTCTACTAGTTCTGGGTAATTGGACAAAGACCTGCTTTTGATGTGGAGATGGAGTTCTAATGAGCTAACACTTCTCTTAGGGGCAAAGGTGAAATATTATATAGCAACCTGGGTTGCTTTTGGAGAAAATATAGCTTAGTTAAAGAGAGGAGATGACCAAGTACCAGCTTGGGTTGGGTACCAATGTGACCCTTGCTTGGCCTCTGTTTGAACTTGGTGGTTTGAGGAATGGGGTTCTGAAACCAAAAAGAACTGTTTACGTTAGAAAGTCACTCGGAGCAGGGATTAGTATCTCTGAGCTCCAGTTTCCTTGTCGGAAGAGTGGAAATAGTAGTGGTATGTGGATAAAGGCCTTTGAAGTGCTTGATCTAGTTTTGGCACATAAGGAACAATTCCAAAAGTATTACCCATTGTCATCTCATTTAACCATTCAAACAGCTTTGTTAAATAGGGGTTATGGTTATGATCGTTGCCCATATTTTACAGGGGAGGCCCTGAGTCTCAGACAGCTTCTCTGTTCCTCCTGATTCTATGGCACTCAGTCATGGTTATTGATTATCTGTCAGCTTATTTTTCATCCCAAGTTGCCTACACAGTGGGATGGAGTTCCGTAAATGTCTTGGTGGGTTGACAGCGTATCTTGATAAGATATGAACCACCTCTGCAAAATAGGCAGACTTCAGAAAAATAAGATGATACAAGAGATTCAAAGAGTGCAAATCCTTAAATCAAATTGGAATGAAGTATATGTATAAAGGTTCAGCTCCAGGATGGCCGTCATAACTTATTCACATCACCCAAACTGTGGTAACAATCTAAATGTTCAACAACCGAGGCCCAGCGGGCCAATTGTAGAGTATGCATACAGTGAAATATGCTACATCAAAAGGCAAAATACAATTGTGTATTTGTCTACATTAAAAAATGTTAGTATATGGTTATACGATAAACGTAGGTTATGATTCATGAAGCATGAATCTGTTGACTAAAAAGAAAATATAAGTTTGCATAAATAGCACACATACATATCATAGATGCATCTATGCACATATAGATGCATCTAGAAAGGGATGACCAAAATTGTCACCTCTGACTGTCTGTTGGGATGGGGACGTATGGGTAATTTGAATTTTCTACTCTCTTGTGTGTTTGAGAGGGAAGTTCTTTATTTTCTGCCCTGTGCAATGTGTAAAACTTCTAGTTACTGAGAAAAAGAAAGGCAAAGAAGGGTTTCAAGTCTCTGTGTATGCTAACACTGGTTGAACATTTCAGGTGATTGTGAAGACAAGAACGGAATATCAGCCTGAACAGAAGAACAAAGGGAAGTTCCGGGTGCCGAAAATCGCGGAATTTACGGTTAGTTTCTTGACGGTGTAACACAGATTGTAAAGGTAAGGCTGGCTTCAGCCAGCTCAAGACTCTTCGTGGCAGTGGAGTGGGTGCTACTGGGGAGTGGGAACTACATAGGCTTTTTCTAGAGGATTCCTTGAGGCCACACTGTCTAGGGTCACAGAGTCTAAGCAAATAACAAAAGCTCTGCCTCTTGAGGATTACTTATGCTCTGTTCTGCGCTGGCATGTTCAGATAATTTGATAATTGATAAATGTGTTTCCTTCTTTTCCCCCCATCCCTGTTGCTCTACCTTTCCATCACAATCTCCAGGAAAAATGATGGAAATGTATTTTTAAAAACTCTCAAATTTAAGTCAGTGGATGGTTGCAACAAAATACAAAAAAGACAAAAGGAAAGAAAAGCTGACTCCTTAGTGGAAAAAACCAAATGGATGACTCTCTGTTTCTTGGTCTTCCTCACCGGGAGGACTGATAAGTATATATCACTGTGATAAGTTGCATGAAGGAGCTACGAAGCATCCTCTGCAAGGAAGAAAGGAGAAACCTCAGGGAAGTAACCTGGAGAAGTCACTTAGGTGGCTGGGAAGAGCACAGATTGTACAAAGGCCCTGAGGCTGGTCCCAACTCTGAATAGGAATAAGGGCAGGAGGCTAAACTCGTGGAAGGGGGTAGGGGGCAGACAGATATGAGACAGGAGAAGTGGGCAGAAGGCAGATAATTCTGGGCCTTGTAGACCATATGGGGGAATTTGGGTTTTATGCTAGAGGCATAAAGGAAGCCCCTGAAGGACTTCAGGAAGGGGAGAGACATGATTGAATTGGGTTTGAAATAAAGCACGCTGGCTTTTATGTGGCTGATGGACTGTAGCGGGCAAGAGGGAGTGTGGGAGACTATTAGGCTATTGCAATCGTCCAAGAAGAAAGACAGGGTGGCTTGAACAAGGATAGGGAGCAGATACAGAGACACGGGAAGACCTAAAAGATATTTAGGAAGCAAAATCAGCCATGATTTTACTAGAACCAGTGAGTCTGATGATGGATGTTGGAGCAGTCTGCCTGGGTAGGAGCCCTGGCTCCACCTTATAGCAGCCAAGTGGCAGCTCCCAGTTAGCAAACCTCATTTAGCACGTGGAGGCAATACTGGGGTTGCTGGGGGTGGGGGAGGGTGAAGTACAAAAGACATGCAGAACCCTTGGATGTTCAGAGTAAGTACACAACAAACCGTAGCTGTTTAGTGTTGGCTGTGACCAGGGGCTTGGAAAGGTAAAAACAGCTCTTAGTTGGTTATCTGGGGCTAGAGTGTATACAGTAAACATGCTGGTCTGGTTCTGCTGCTCCCTTGGCCCTGTTAAATCTGGGTTAGTGCAGCCAGGTGTGTGAGCCCGTGGCGGGGGGGACGTGGTCCCTATGTGTGCATCCCTCTGGGGGGCGAGAGTTCCCTGGATGCCAACCGCCTCCCACACCTTTGAGGGCGAGGCTCTCTTCCTTTGGGCCGTAGCTTCCTGTCTGGTGCACAGCCCAGTGGGTCCAGTGAATACGGGCGTGGCCTGAACCGCAGACCGTGTAAGAATGAGCACTGTGCTTCAGGGGAAGGACAGCGTGGACCTTGTGCATAATGTGTATACGCATGCACTGGGCCAGAGAGTGAGCTGACCTGTGCTCCTGGCACCTGAGACCATCAGAAATATGCCCAGATTCACGTATGACCATGTTCACTGCAGTGTTACTTATAAAATTGAAGTATTTGAAATAATGCTACATTGTCACCAACTTCTGGTGATTCTGGAAATGAGCCCTCGTCCCTGTGTTGGGCTATTTGAGCAGTTTCTCAAGGTTTCTTTTTCTCGGAGAGTAGTTAATTTACTCTGAACAACCTCTGAGATATTTTCATCTTCTTTTTACTTCCTTGTGCTTTCCAAATTTGATACGAGCATGCGTGATTTCGATAATAAGAAAAAAGTAGGATTATTATTATTATTATTATTTACCAACTAGAGATTACAAGCTTCTGATGGAACTATTCTTTATTTAGCAGTCCTTTTAAAATGATGGTGATGAAGACACACAGTAATTTAGGCAAATCCTTCAGAGAGAAAGTTAAGGGAAAAAAGCAGAGATTAAAATGGTATGTTTTTCAGGATTGGAACTGTGAAAAAACAAACACACACCAGTAAACAGAGGGAGGGGAAACGTGGAAAGAAATGTATCAACATATGTCTTTTTTTTCCCCTCTTCTTTGAGCACTTTTGGTGATGCTGCTATTTAATCATATTTAATGTCCACGAGCCCCCGAGGGACTGAGGTAATCCTCCATGTCACAAAGGGGAACCATGGCCCAGAGCAGTGACGTGACTGGCCCCTCTAGCCAGCAGGTAGCAGGGCCAGGGCTCAGAGCTGGCCCAGAGCAGCCTTTCTGTTCCGCCAGGTTGCCTGCGGCGGTCGTGCCCCTTTCAAACAGAAGTGAGTCTACTAAGAGCAGAGGAGGGGCTCAGTCAGGGTCTGGGCCATGCTGCCCACTGAAGCAGGAGCTGGGAGATCTGGGCTGGGGGGCGGCGTGCTGGGGATCCGGGCCGTGGATGGTGTGGTCGCCCTTGGACGGAAATGGCCTGGAACTCAGGCTGGAGCTTTGTGCTGGAGGTCAGCGAGTCCCCAGTTCGTCTGAGAGAGTGTGGTGCTGGTGAACAGCGGCTGCGCTGCCTGCCCAGGGTACGGCCCACCGGCAGAGGGAACGGTGGCGCTGGTGAGAATACACCTGCCCCTCGTTCCAGTGCCTTCGCAGGGGTGGAATGCTTACTACTTTGCGTTTCAAACTGCCCCGGACAGAGCAGCCGGAAGCAATGTGAGAGAGAATGGGAGGGCAGAACGGGCTGGGGAGATGAGCTGAGAAAGACTGGCTGAAAGAATCACCTGGCATGCTTGTCTTTTCTAAAACAGAGAAAGCTCTTATGAGGGGTCACAGACTTGAGGACCTGTTCATCAGGCTATTGGAAAAGACAGGAGCATGCAGGGAGGAGCCCCTCCTTCTTTCTTAGTCCTGGGACCTACGTGTTCTTCAAAAGCTGATTTTGCCATGAAAGGTGCCATGGAGGGTGCTGGAGCCGTGCAGGGCGCTGGTGCTGTGCAGGGTACAGATTATGGAAGATGCTGGTGCTGTGCATAGTGCTAGTGCTGTGTATGATACAGATTATGGAAGGTACTGGTGCTGCACAAGGTGCTGGAGCAATGAAGGGTACAGCTTATGGAGGGTGCTGGAACCGTGCAGGGTGCTGGTGCTGCACAGGGTGCTGGAGCAATGAAGGGTACAGGTTATGGAAGGTGCTGGAACCGTGCAGGGTGCTGGTGCCTCTGGCCATGCTATCAGCCCTGGTTGTCCCCAAGGCTGGGGCGAGAAGGAACTGCGTGTTGCATGCCGAGGCCAATGTGTCAGGTTAAGGAGAGGTGTTCTACGTCTTTGGGGCTAGAATGACTTGGGCAACCGAGATCACGTCCCTGTCACCTCTTGGCTCCATGACCTGTGAAAGTCCCTTCACCTTTCTGAGCACCTGATTCCTCAGCAATAAACCAGAACACACTGCTGACCTGACAAACAGTGTTAAGCCTCTAGATCTTAATGAATGATCACTTTATCTCCTTCCTGTTCAGATCCCCTTTCTTCCTCCTGGGTTCTTAGCTTCCTGCCTAATTAGCCAGCTTTTGTCTGTTGGCTGAGACAAGTCCGGGCTTCCGTTTCTAGCTTTCCCCCTTGGGAATGTGCAGGAATTGTTCAAGGAGAAGCCGGTTCAATGTCTGAATTCATGGGCAGTCTCTGGCTGTCTACACTGACCTCTGGAGCCACCTTTTTGCCTACTGTGAAGCGTAGGCAGATTTTTGGTTAGTCTGTTCCTCAATACATTGGTTATAATATGAATAATCCTAGTATCAGTTAAAATATGCATTTAATCCACTTTATAGCCTAATAACAACCAATAGATACTTCGATTGTTATCCCCATTTTACAGATGAGGAAACTGATGGTCAGGGAAAGTGAAGTGGTCCCAAAGGCCATTCAGTCCAGATGTGTTAGGATGAAATAAGAACCCAACTGTACCCCACTCTCTCCGCCACACCTTGACATCGCCCGGGGACTGCCCTTGCCAATTCTGTGGCTGGCTTGCCTTCTTTCCTTCCTTGTTTTTCTTTTTTGTCTTTATTGGTATTTGCTCTGGGCTGGGCCCTAGGCCTGTTATTGGGAGACACAAAGTGCATAAGACAAGATTTTTGCTCTGGAAGGAACTCACAAATGTGGACTGGCCGAGAACATTCTGGCCACCTTCTCAGCTGTACTGTCCCTGTCAGATCGTCAACTCTGGGCTGCTTCCCCCTTGGCCTCTCAGCTGGGTTTGGGGCCTCATCTTGGTTCTTCAGGTAACATGGGGGCCTTGAATGCTGCTATAGTATAATTGGCTGCTCTTGCATCCACAGCCTGGCCCCAGCCTCTGATCCCTGGAGGGCAAGGTCTCTTCTGGCCTACCCACACGTCTCTAGTTCCCAGCACAGGGCCTGGCATAGAGTGGGAGGCTGGTGTATGGCAACTGAAACCCCAGTCTTTTGGAACAGTATTTATCTCTGACCGCATCCTGATTCAGCGTCCAGAAAGTCTGACTCGGGTGGCCATGGCCTAGTCAAGCTCGGATGGGAGGCCATCCAAGTGCATGGGTAAAGACCCTGGGGAGGTCTACAGATCAGACCCAGAGCACGATCCATGGGAGAAGACGGAATGGGAGAAATGCATTAGCGCAAAGGGACCAGAACTCAACATTCCTGCCAGGAAAATGGGCGCATTACCAAAAAGCAGGGTGGGGAGCATTGAGAGTGGGAGGGCTAGTAAGTCTCAGAGAATAAGGGTCTGTGGGCCATTCCTAAAAACAAGCAACAAAACAAAAACAACACTAAATAAAAATCCATCCGAGGATCCACTCAACTCTGATCCACTCAATTCTCAAGGCTGCTTCCATTTGCCTGCCAG